CGGCAACCCTCACACCCCTCGCCTGTTGGGGGATTTGTGAGGAGTGAACATAAAGGCGAGGCCCGGACTTGGGACCGGGCTCGGCTCGGACCGGCTTCCTCCAAGGGAGCCGTGGGTTTACGGCATCGCAAAGGCTCTGGCGGGCTGCGCGCCCGCAACCTGTGTTCGGCTTGAGTAGGCGACGCCAGCTCCCTGTGCCGGGGCCGTAGACTACCATCTGCGGCCGAATCCATGGCATGTAAATCCAGTGTGGGGTCAACTTCTCGAGTCTGCTGTGCACATAAGGCATCACGGTGCGAGTCATGGGCACTATCGGTGCCAGCACCCGAGGAGGGGCCGTAGAGAGCATCATGCCGTCTCTGTGCAGTTTGCTCGGCCAGTGCCACCAGCTGATCATACCTGCGGGGGTGGACAGAGCGTCTCCGTGGTCTTCTCTTCGGACCCAGACGGGAAAGCATGTGCTGCTCTGCTGGCGTGTCGGCAGTGCAGTCCATGTCTTGCCGATGCTCGCCTTCCCGTGTAGATTCCACTGCTCCGGCCGCCCGAGAGGGGCCGTTTTCTTGAAGGACCTCCAGTGGCAGCCAATCTCTGCTAATCTTGTTGTGCTCGTTGGTATATCCAAAACCCTTGCACAGCTTATCTGCAGAGGTGGAAGGAGCAGCGGACTCAGCATGCAGCTCATAGCCAGTTGCATCACTGTCAGCATGCGCGGATGACTCCATGGCATGTGGGCCCCGGCGTATGTACAAGCTCTGCTAGTAGAGCCGGTCTGAGCCGTGGTGCTTGGAGGGAAAGAGAGAGAGAGAGAGAGAGAGAGAGTGAGTGAGTGACAACAAAATATGGACAGAGACATTGGCAGACAGGCAGGCAGTCGCAAGGCACACATACATCTGCTCCACATGCAATTACATCATCAATAGCTCTCAGCGATGTGCATTTTGCGATGGAAGGCCTGACAAGCAAGACTTGCAGGAGCGCGTAGGCAATCCAAAAGACATCGCACCTGCTGGCGTGGCAGCGAGCTGGCCCCCATTCCAGCCTTATGTTTCCACGGCGCGATCACGACGCCGTGCCGAGTTCAAGCACGGCTATACCCAACCAGGAATGAGCAATACATACGCCTGCTCGTCCTTGGGCCTTTCTGCCGATGGGCGTCGGGACAACCTGAGTCCAGACTTGGTTATCCCAAGAATATCCGTTCTCTGCCAATTTAAGTTAAGTGTTTGTCACTCACAGGCGCAACAACCTCACCAAATGCATCTTTGTGGCCCACCTTTGCCACCTGCTGGGCCCTGACCATTTCATGATGGTCGGTCTTTGATACAAAACAGGTGGCTTTGCGCGTGTGGAGTCCCACTCACTCAGGCCCTGACGTCTCTGCCGACTGCATGTACAGGTAAAGGCCGCGAAAGCAACGCTGCCGTCCCTGCCAATCAGCCGAACCGAGAGCCGAATTTGGGCTGGGCCGCAGGGCCCTCAAGTGCCACAGCCACGGCCTGCCGTTTGCCACTCCGAGTGCTGTCCGGGAATCTCCTGCAGCAGCCGCACTTGGGTCAACAGAAGGAACGCCAACAGAACCGCATCGCAGAATACGTGAACGCCGAAGATAGACACCACTCATTCCATGCACAATGCATCACGAGACACTTGCATCAGTACACCCGAACCCGAAGATAGAACCTTCAACGCGTCTGCCAGAGTCGTTGGACAACGGCACGCGCCTAGTGGCTGTAATTGCAGGTTCAACCGCCGAACGCATCCAAACAAGACCCACACGAGGCAAGCCCATAGGCCTCCCTCGGCATTGGCATGTCTACCACCACCTGATGCTAGTAGCGGTTGATGAGTCTACTGAATCTTACAGTCTTACAGTTGCAATGGATGGTCATGAGAACTCCACCTCGCGGGTCAGGCGTGGAATCAGACACGCCGCCGTCTCACCATATCTCTCAGGGCTTCCGCCTCAAGGAAGTCAATGAATCGAGTCGCACATGACGGCCGCCGCATCCTGGCCTTGGGGATAAGGATGCATTGCTTGCAGATGCAAGCCCTGCTGGTCATTCCTTGGTCCGGGATAGATCGCACCGCCCTAAGCCGCTGTCCAAAAGCATTTTGGGTAAAGCAGCGTGTGCCACATCGCCGGAGCCTCAGGAACTCCCCACATGGCGGGAGCCTCGTGGCATCTCGAATGCGTGGAAACGAGCGAACCCAGCCAATGCTTTCCTTTCTTTCTGCACGCCCGGGCACGCAGGGCGCAAACGAATTCCAGCCAGAGGACCCCGCCGGGGTCTCTTGCATGACCTGCATCGGCGCATAGCCCCACTGACCTGGCTCACAGATGGAGGAACGCACTGCATACCCAAACCCAAGCAAGCGGCCTCCAACGCTGCGATCCCAGCCCCAGGGAGGTTGGCCGCGCATGGCACCGAAAGGCCCTCCAGCAGGCCTCGCATGCAGCGAATCAGAACTTGTGCCATGGCAGCAACACCTCTCACCGTCTCACCCTGCCTGTGTAGGAGGCGCAGGACAGGATTCATCCGTGAAAAGCTGACATGAAGAAGCTGTGATTGCAGCACATGGATGCGGTTAGGCTTCTGACATATTGCTGCCGTCATTCGGCTTGATCGGAGTTTGGGTTGCTTGGGCCGACAATCAGAACAACCGGAGCCCTTGCACACAGAGCATGAAGGCTTCACCTGACGAAGACCTCAAGCGTGGCATACAGGCCGTCGGCATCTCCAAATAGCTTGCCAGCTCCCTTGCCTGTAGAGTCCGCACACTTCGCTGAGAAGCCGAAAGAGATGCTCACAGATGCTCACAGATGCTCAGCCGGCCTTCCACGCCTCGTCGCGCCGGAGGGACCGAGGGGGCCGAGGGGGCCCGCGGCATGGGGGCGGGTGGAGGAACGGGCGCTACATGGGACGTTGGCATCGGCGGGGCCGTCACCAAAGGGTTTCTGTTGGCCTCGCCTGCGCTGAAGGCTCTCCTCTCAGCCATCAAGATTTTCCGCACCTGCTCACCTTAGCCAAACTTAAAAACTGCTTTACCCTGCGAAAACTTCATGAAGTCTTCCTGTCTTCTCCGAGATTGCGACGCACATCAGGCGGGCGGTAGGGTGGTGGTCCGCGTGTCGGGTACGGCAAGACCTTGACAGTGCATATAATACTGCAGTTGAAGCATGCATCTTTGGTCCCCTCCACAAACTGCAGAGGCAGACTAGGGGCTCAAGCACATACATAAGATCTGTTAAGCTCTGGCATTACATTACAGACCCGAAGTACAATGATAAGGTATGTGCGACTCCCCTTGCAGAAGTGTGGGTGATTGTGAGAAAATTGCCTCTCCAGTGGTCCACGTCTCTTGCCGCGGTGGGGGCATCGCCGGAGGCACCTGGCCGAGGAGCAGAAGGTTGGAAGACATGTTGCGCACATCTTACCTCAACATTCTCGAGTCCGATAACAACAGCTTTGTTATCAGCATAGACGCAAAGATCTTCAGATGGAACCTCTAAGTTTTCAAATTTGTTCGGCGAGCTTTTTGGAGCACGTCGCAGGGCATCAATGGGCAATGGCCGCTTTTGCGGCTACTTCCTGAAAAGCCCCGCGAGATCCGTCAAGTCCTCTGACGTTTGTTGGAGGACCCTACGCCACTTTTCTCTTGGCCGTCTCCAGCAAAAAACTTCAACACATCGTCGAAAGAATCGTTTTCCTGTTTCGTGATGACCCAGGCTTTGGTCTCACCATCGAACTTTGCACCAAACTTCTTCAAGTCCTCCTTGAAATGGAAGGTAGCACCTGTAAGGGTCATCTGGTTCCCTTCTATTTTCGAAATCACCTTTCGGCGCAAGGCAGCGGAAGCAGCAGGGGCCAAGGCCCCGACTGGGGGCTCATCCGATTGCCTCCCTTCCAGCAGCATCTTTATCTTGGCTTGATCGTCTGCTTTGAGCTTCTGAAATCCATGGATGTCTCCCGTTGATGTAATCTCCTTATTGGCATTGGATTTGTATTTAAAGGTCTTCCAGAGGCAGCCCGGATGGTACCAGCCAAGCTGGCTGCCGCGGTGGTCGTTCTCGGGAGCTTCAAGACCTATCCGAAGCTCTCCACTGTTGATCTTTTGCTTGCAGCGGAACTCCTTGCAACTCGATCGTGCAGACTTGGCGTAGTCCGCAACATACCACGATCCCTCGCTCCAAGCCCAGGACAGGGAAGCCATTAGCGCGTCAAAAACTACACACCTATGGAGGCGTTTGCGGAGTGGTCTAGTCGGAAGCTCAAGTACATATTGACTGAGCTGTCTGTGGCAGGCTTGTGAAAAGTGTGCTCTGGACAAACTGCAGCCGTGTCTCCCAGACTGACCACTTGACTGCGATCCATGCATCGCTCAAATGACTGCCTAACGAGGTTGGGAACCGAGACTTGCACGGCGTCGACGAAAAGTCAGACCCCCAAAGAACGCTGGAGTCAATGAGCCGGCATCACTGCATTCAGCGGCTGGTCCTCCGGAACATTGTACCTCAATGCACACACACACACAAACTCGGAAACTCTCCAAATTAACCCTACAATCTGTTAGCGGTTGCAGTGCAAGCCGATGCAAACGTGCAGAAGCAGCCTCAGGTCGGAGAGCATCGCCTGACGGCGTGGAGCCTCCGATGGACCAGACTCGACGTCGTGTCGTGACCCGACGCAACGCGCTGCCCCGGGCCCTAGGAATGAGAGAGCTGGAGGGAGGCTCTGCGACTCGCACCTCGACGTGAGCCGCCAGCTCTTCTTGGGCAGCTTCTGCCTGCAGCACAAAGTGAACTCATTGGCAACCAGCGAAAACAGGATGTGTCTGACTCGTGCTCGCTTCTCTCGACATGCACGAGCTGCAATTGCAAGTGGCATCGAATAATGACGAGGACTTGGCCGATTCCGATTCCATCCGCTCCTTGCCCACATTGCGCCTTATGGCAGTAACAAAGCTGACGACAGAGTCAGTCGCAACCAGCCAGCAGACCGATCCCGACCCATCGCCTGAGATCGGCAAGCTTGATCGTCTGCTGGCGTGGTGCCTAACACCATGCGCAATGCGTACTCGAGGGAAATCCTCAGAATCTCTACAAAGGTTCGACCAAAGCCCCAGCCTGTCGAGCTTCCGCTGTCTGAGCCATTTGGCTAGCCTTCGCTGGGCTGCACGACAGCCCATGATCGCTCTTCACACAGACATCACCGTCCTTCAGAGTTGCACATCCTTTGTTTTCCTAGACCATGCCATACTCCGCTCAACCCTGCCCTGGCCTTAGCTTCCTGCGCTTCCTGCCCAGGATATGTCGTTTCTTCTATGTCTCACGAGCCCATGCCGCCACACCGGAAAAGACGACACTCTGCAAGCACCTTGGCACGCATGTCTCGCTGGCGCTGGGCTTCACGTCGGATAGCAGCTCGTGTGGCTTGCTCCTTGCACGGAAGCCGCATACAGCAAAAAGGAAAAGCTGTCCACAGTGTTTGTGATGAAGCCTTGGAGCAGCTCGCACCAACTGCAGTCCTCCTGAACCCGACGCTGCTCTCGCATCTCGGCCTTCTTTTCGGTCTTGTTCTTCACCTTACGACACTTCTCACAGGATCCATATCGCGAAGACGATCTCTTTGAGCAGTGCTCGGTCTACAGAGAGTGCAAAAGCTCTCTCAGTGCCAGAGGGCTGCTTGCATTGAACAAAGGTGCTGAGCTGACTGAGTCACAGAGACGAGTGAAAAAAAAAGGAAGCAAGCTGCACCGGGCCCGAGGCTGTTTCAAAATCCAGGAGCTCGTCGGAATCGACCTGCAAGGCGAGGCCCAACCCGAAGCGACACATCAACTGCGAGCAGAGCTATGTCGGAAGTCTACTACACTAGCAGCCTGCTTCTCCTCACCCTGCACGCAGACCTCGGCTTTGCGTGAGCATTCCAACACTCCGCGCTTTTCAGAGCAGACTTATAACTACGGTCATTGGTCACACGGTGAAGCGCAGTTCTTCCTCCAGTTCTATAGGATGTGACAAACATTTCCAGATCCGTTTCTCCGCTCCTTGACTGGTATTTACCTCGCTCATAGCTGCTTGGGTGACACTGACAGAAAAATCAGAATTTAGCCTGATGATGTTCAAACAGACAGCATAATTATGCGTCGCAGGGCGGCAAAAGAGGGGCACACGAAGCAAAGGAGGCGGCCCTGCTACGCAAAGACATTGGCAAGCCCTGGAAATGCTTCAGCCTGCCGCACTTTCCGTTGCAAGCCACATTTCGGAGCGCGGCTAACGCAAGCGCTAAAAACATACCTTTTCTGTCATCATGGCAGGGTCTGGATTGCTTTGGGCGCTCTTCGATGCTGCTTCGACAGCGAAACTAGGCAGGCGGATGCGGAGTCAACTGTTCAAAAACGTTCGGAACGATTGGGAACGAACCGGTTCGGTCCGAAACGCTTCAATCCGGAACGGCTCGGAACGGTTCGGAACGGTTCGGGACGGTTCGGAACAGCTTCACAGCAACTCCGCCCGACAGCTGAACCCCTGACCCCACAAATGTTTAAGATTGGGTTTGCATCGCATGTTTGATTCTCATTACACCCTCTTGGTGGCTCTGGGGGGCTAACCTCCTTAAAGTTAAGTTATGCATTCCCAGGGCTTGCCAACAAAGACACGCTAGAAGCTGCCTTAGGAAGCACCGCAGCCTCAGGGCTTGTGCTTGCGTTCCTTGTAGGATGCTGCATAGGCAAAAGGTCTTCCGAGTGGTAAAGATGAAAGATTGCGGTTGCGATGTGCTCGAGAAAATACAGACACAAGGTCATAGGAAAGGAGGAAGGCCGGGTGCTAGCATGCTCAGCGTCCAGCCATGCCAACGCCCAAAGCAAGGCCCGTGTCTGCGACGGGATTCAATCGGCCCATAGCCTGGTCGGCGAAGTGCTCGAGTCTCCGACCTATAGGCTCCTTCCCCCTGCCTCCTCACTAAGGATGCTAGACTGTGGGACGACAGGCGGCTCCTCCTGGCACACCAACTCCCGCAGCTTGTCGGCTTAAGCCCGATAGCATCTCCGACCAACCACTTGGCATCGCCGACAACACCAGTCCCCACTAGTCACTAGCCCAAGTCTCCTCGTCCTCCTGCTTTTGCTCGGTGTCCACCGGTGACGTTGGAGAATTTTCCTCCACCTGGGACTTTTTTCACCAACGCACACCTTCTGATGCGAGCAGCCCATGCCTTCACCGGCTGCACCTCTGCGCCGGCTGCCTGTGGTGTAGCTTACAGAAGTCAAGACCGAACCTACAAACTCTAAACACGGGAAAGTACGTACAAGCTGCAAATCCTCGTAAACTTGAGGCCGCAAGCCTCCCCACTTCTAACCCAAACCCCCAAAACATGAAACACTCAAGATTGCAGTCCATGAACTATTCTGGGTGGGGTCGGCAGGAGCTTTTGTGGCCTTCTCGCGCAGCATCTTTCTCTGTCGCTCAGCCTCTGCTCGCGTGGCAGCTCGAGACCTCTGCACACCCGAGGTGACGTGCACTGACATCATGCAGAGTCGTGCAAGGCCAAGACGAGACACGGAATTGAGAAGCCAAGTCCAGGACTCAAGGACACTCTTGAGGTTCCTCTGTCTCTTCTCCTGTCAACAGCATGAATTGAACTGGAGCACGGCTACACAACGCGGTTCCAAAGGAAACTGGCTGGCCGCACGAATTGTTGCTTGCCCGTCTCGGGCAGCGCTGGCGCTGGTGTCTCATGTGCAGCAGGCGTCTCATGCTCCTGATCCGTGATGTAGCGTGCCAGAATCCAGGACATGCTCAGAACGCTAGTTGGATGCTTGGCCTCCTCATCATCCTCGTCAGAATCGTTGGACTTTGTCTTGACAATCCATCCTGCATGATGATGCGGTCGCTCTCGGCTGTCATCCAGACATCTTCGTGGCCGTGTGCACAGGACAACAGGGCCTTTCTTTCCGCCTTTCTTGTCCTTGCCCTTGGCTTTGCCTTTGCCCTTGCCCTTGGCTTCCTTGCCATGGCCTTTCTCCTGTGCCCGCGCTGAGCTGAGATCTGGACACACGCTAGCTTCCAGTGACCTTGCCTGGTGCGCCGGCTTCGCAGCCCAGGAGTCCTCAGCCCAGCGTGGCAGTGGAAAGGACACGGCTCTGCGTGTTTCGCAGGTCCTCATCCTCGGAGGAGACGACGACCGGGGAGCTCTCGTTCACCGGGCTCTCCTTCTGCAGAGGTAGAGTACGTAGCTACAGCCCAAAGAGCCTAGAGCTACAGAGTCCAAAGTAAAGCTGTCATAAGCTGTCCTTCTCCTCTGAGGAATGCGACGAGGCGACGCTCCACTCGGCATCAGAGTCCTCCAAATCCCGACAGCGGTACCGACCGCAGCAGCAGCGCTGATCACTGGCCTCGCCGTAAACGCGAGGACCACGCCCCTTGCCCTTGCTTTTGCCCTTGTCCTTAGACCTTGCCAGCAGAAGCATGGGAACGTCAATTTTCAAGGTGATTGAGAATCTCTTTCTAGGCGCGGACTTGCCGGAGCCTTTGCCTTGTTTGCCTTCGCCTTTGCTTGCACCCTTGCTGGAAGCCTGCCAGACAAACACGGACCAAAGCACTAATCAAAGCAACAGGAGCCAAAACCAGCACGTGTCAGTGCCGTGTCCTCTGTCCGCGGCTCCACTCGGGGTGCATGAGCCTCGCAGGGTTCGCACAGCACTTGGGGACCTTTTGCAGTTTTGCTGAGACGTGGCAAAGGAATGCCATAAAAACTGTACGTGTGAGAGCCTCCTGCTCCTTGGCCTTTTCTTCTGCCGACTTCTGAAGGATGCGCAGCGGCTTCTGCGATCCGGGATCGATACCGCAAGTGCTTGTGGCTAGGCACTTGGATGCCACCCACCTGAGGATCGATCTTCATCTGCGTCTGGATTGTCACTTCAACGTCCTCTGTGTCCTCGACACTGTGACTGTGGCCAACCCCCTCACGAACCGTTCTCCCCCCAAACCCTAAACCTTCCACTATCTTCCACTTAAAGCGGGGGGGGCCCTCGCCCTCGGCCCCTCGGCGCCGGCTCTGACCGCGCCTCTCCCTTGGGATCTCGTACACGCCGGCTGCCATCGTCGCGCTTCTCGCGCGGGGCACGCTGGAGGATCCTGTGGGTGGCTGTGGAAGTGGCATATATATGGCGATGCTATCTCGGGGCCCGGGCCCGTTCGGTGTCAACTTAGGAGACGGTGGCTTCTGCACGGGCTCGGCGGGCTCGGCATCAAGCTCGGGGTCGCCTAAAGGCAAAATGATGGAACGGAACCCAGTAGCGGCCTCTGCACCGCACCGCCCACCTGCGCCTTCTTCAACGAATGCTCCAGTCTGCTGCGGAAGAGCAGCCTAGCAAGCACAACAGCGGCTGGATGCATCAGACGACTGAGCAGGAGCCGAATCCCAAAGCTGCTTATCCTAGTCCTAGCCATGTTCCCATGGAGTCATCTCGACCGTCTTGCGATACATCTCGTACAAGTGGCTGAACTCATGGCCCAGAGCGCCTTCCCCGAGAAAATCTTGGCCGATCGGCCCTTCTTCGATGGCTTCATCAGGTCCTCCCCCACGCGATGGTGGACTGCAGTGCAAACTAAAGTAGACTGAACAACGTCCGTCATCGTCCTGCAGGGCGAAAGTTGGTGCGGCCCTCTGCGCATGTCCTGTGCTGCAATGCTAAAGCTCTTGGTCTTGGCAGCTTTGGCTTCTCGCTGCACAGCGAGACTTACTCGGCCCCCAGCCAAACTTGTGCGCGGCCTGGACTGGATGCTTGGCAACAGGCTCCACGAGGTTTTTGGCCGCAGTCTTCTGCTTCTCCTGTCCGAGAACAAGTGTTGTTCTTGTTGCAATTCCAATCTCCAAGTCTGCTGCAGGCTCCTTCTTCGACTGTGGGCCGGAGGAGATGTCAGGGAATTGCTGATCTGCGTTTCCTCTTACGGGACGCAAGTCGTCCAGGTCGCCCCACACCTCCGACGGCGAAGAGCGCTCACACTGCGACAAGGAGTGTGGTCAAGATGGGATAGGCTTCGCGTTCTGAATGAAAGTCCGAGGCCGTGACAGAGCAGGAAGATGCCGCCTTGGGAGGTGCCACAGCCTCCTTGCAGATGCCGAGCTCTGGTTGGAAGCCGTCACAGCAACCCAGTGACCCTGTCTGTGCCTTTCTGGGCGGAGGTCGCAGCATCTCCGCCGACGCCACCTGGGCTGATGCAGCTTCCCGACAGATCCTCCAAAGGACAGCGGTCTGATCCACCCCAGCCTGCTTTGGTGGCACGGGCGGAGCCTTTGGCGGCGGCACTGGCGGGGGGACATAAAAGCTGGCCGCCTGAGACACTGGGCTTCGGCTAACGCAAACGAGTCTACTAGTTCCAGTCCTGTACAGGACAGAGGATTCCCATCAAATGAGGTGCACTTGATTCGTGAGTCTTTGGCCTTCTTTGGCGGAGGCGGCTTTGGAAACGTAGCCTCAGGCTCAACAGGTTCATCCTGATGTGATATTCCCTCACATACCTCACATTCGATATTGACCTGGCCTTGGACGGTGCGACCAGCACGGCCTCGCGAAAAGCCGAGTTGCAGCCGCCGCCACCACTAGGACGGCTCCGGCCTCTGGAACTGCAGCCGGCGGCTCTGGCGCTGCCTCCGACAGCGGTGAGGTGTGTAGGCGCTCGGCACCGTCTGCTACGGTTTGGAGGATTTGGGCACGTCTCGCCTCTGGAACCGGCGCAGGTGGTGGCGGAACCTGCCCGGAGTCGGATCTGCCCCCCGTGCGGGCCATCACATCTCATGTTGCATTCTCTGGGTATACTTAGCTTCGGAAGGTCTCGTTCAGGCCGCCTCCGCAAAAGCTGGGGCCACGACCTGGCATGGCTCCATGGAGATGTGTCTCATGACAAACCCTACAAAGAAGTGGAGAAGGGAGCGGTGGCCGAGCACGGTTGAAACTCTAAGTGCCCGGAAAGAGTGCATAAAGATCTGTGCCTGTTCCAAGGTGTCTGACTGCATAGGTTCATACGGGGGATCGTCTCGCTTGACTTCTCCACGTAACACCTCGGTTGTGCTGCCTCTCTCTCTCTCAGACTCACGAAGCACGAGCTTCAGAAGATGATCTGGCGAGGAACTCTCACTGCTCCCGTGCATATACTGTAACTTTATCACCAAAAACGTTGGTAGGCGCGGATCATGACGGCTTAAAGGCCCCTGGCGCGCAATTGCTCCTGGCGCTCTTCGTCCTGGGAGCGCTCTGCATCTCAGCTTTCGGGATCCCTCGTCCAGGAGTGTCCAGCCTCCTGTCTCTGGCGTTCCTTCGCTCGTGTCTCCAGAAGCCGCAGCTTCTCCTCATCCCACTGAAAATGCCACATGCAAAGCCACATGCAACGCAGTCTCACCTGCAGAAAACTTGGTCTTTTTTCTCAAGCTGCAGGGCAGGGAGTCCTAGGATCGCATCCTACTGTGTCCTCATCCTGCTCTCTGCAGCCGTTAGGAGCTGCCAGCTGCACTCACTTCGCATCCTCCGCCGGGAGATCCTTCAGGTGGCAAGGAGAGGGCCAGTGCCCCGAAAAGCACCTGTTGCCAGTCATGGCATCGGAAGTGCCTCCAGGATGGGGCCGATCATCTCGAGAAACCGCGCCTGGAAAAGACCGCAGAAGCGACCCCATGCAGGAGATGCACACTGCATTTTCCATTCGTGCCTTCACTTGTGATAGCCGCAGTTTCAGCTGATCTGGTGCCAGCTCCCTGCCGCGAATCTCACGAAAGCCCGAAGCCCTTCCCACGACAGCCAGGAGAAACCACGGTGAGTGGTCCCATGCCTTGCTTCCGATGGTGCTGGCACTCCTTTGGCCGGGAAGCCGGCCTAGGCTGACGGAAGCGCTTAGCGGCTTAGGCNNCCCCCCCCCCCCCCCCCCAAAGCGCTTTTCCCCCCTCCCCCCATTGTTTCGGCGCCTTCCAGAGCAGGTCGCGCAGCTGCAAGACCGTCATCGAGCGGGCCTCGGCCGACAGCGCCGAGCCTGTGCTCCCAAAGAGCGCTCCCACGACTCCCCGCCTCGCTCAACGTGGGAAGCGTCTCCTTAATGGAAGGCAAGCAGAGAGCCGGCGAGAGAAAGAGGTGGAAGATGCGTGCTAACTCTGCCAAGATGCTCCCCTAACCTCCAGCATTCGCTGCACTCGCTTTCGCTCAACCTCCGTGGCAGCTCGCCTCGGTCGGTCACAAGACCAGTGCCCGATGACTGAAGATGTTAGCCTGAGTCGCGAAACTCCTGCTTCTGGCGACGACGTTGTGCTCGCTGCTCTCGTTGTGACGTGAGCTGCATAGCCTCCAAGACCAGTGCTTCTTCTTGTGTTAGCGCCTTAGCGCTGTCACAATATGACGGTTTAGCTGACGGCCATCTGGTTGGGGTCCATGGAAATTACTTACATGTGGGTTGCATGAGGTGTCACAGACAAGGCCTCTTCTAGCTGCTGCGCCCGCTTCGCCTGTCGACACACTTGAGCACTCGCTAGCTCCGCTAGCTGACGGCGCTGAATAGCAGAACTGGCGATGACTAGTGGCCTGCGTGAGTAAAGGTGCACATTCATCCATCCAACCGTACGTACATACATACAAACAGTCGTTCACTGATACATGCGTACAGCTCTCACAGTACATACATATATTATATACATTACGCACATCACATACATGACGTGCACTTCACAACATGCACTACATGCACTGCATGCGGTACATGCATTACATGCATTACATACATCCCACGCATCTCATATGGTCATTGCAGGCATTAAATGCATTACATACACCACACACATTGCAAGCATGAAGTATATCGCATACACTGTTGCACACAATGTTGCATGCGTTGCAAACAATACGTTCCTATGTGCATACATGCCTGCGTAATCATGAGTACGTACACAAATTACAGAAATACGTACAGACAGACAGACAGACAGACAGACAGACAGACAGACAGACGGACGGACGGACGGACGGACGGACGGAAGGACGGACGGACGGACGGACGAACGGCCGACGGACAGACGGACAGGCTGACAGACGGACGGACAGACACATAGACAGATAGACAGATAGACAGACAGACAGACAGATACATGGCATGCTGACATGCATACATGCATTCATACAGGCAAGCATGCAAACCTACATTCTTCCTGCCACAGCAGACGAGCGAGCGGGAAGAGAGAGTGAATGAGCTCCTCACTTGTGAGACAACGAAATAAACTCAAGAATAAACAAATGAAAGAAAGAAATGGTGGCACCTCGAGTCTTTGGAAGAGGCGGTTACGTTCTCGCGTGACTTCCTGGCAGCAATGTTTCTCAAGTTTAAACCAAAGAGGAGAAGGTGACTCGCACACCAATCCTTCTTCCGCTGGTTAGAATCCCAACTCGCCGGCTTGGGTAGGGGCACCTGCCACGCTCGTCAAAGCGTAAACAGTAAAGACGTCAGCCTCTAACTGGCAGCAGTTCTGCTTGCTTTGCTGCGCACATGCTGCACCTCCTCTTCGGCCCCTTCCTGGCCAGCCTTTCGCTGTAGACGGGCCCGAGCCTACAAATGCTAAGCATCGACTGCGTCTGCGACACACCACCAAGGCCAAGCAAGGAAGAGATATGACATGATACCTCCTCGAAAGCATGCTCAGGATTTGTGGCTTCTGATTAAGAAATCTGATTTGATTAACAACAGAAGCATGCACAAACTTTCAGAATTTGAGCTGTGAGTGCAGCAGGTCTGGGCCTACGGCTTTCCCATGTTTTCCTTTTTGCCGGTCAGCATCTCCCGAGGCATCGACCCACTCTGCTCGTTTCCGCGCGCTCGCACGCAGCGCGAAAACCTGCAAGCAAATGGGGCAGGTGAGCATTGCCGGATGCCAAGTTCGAACGAAGCTTCAAAGGCATTCTCGGCCAGACCTCCTCCTCGCTCAGCTGCCTTTGAGAGTGCAAAGCTGCAAGCTGTTTCATCGCAATTGTCGACGCGGCCTCGTCTTCTGCCAAACCTGCCGAGCAAAGCCCGGCTTTGTATCATCTCGACTCTCCACACGCAAGACTGCTTGCTGACCTCGTCTGACTGCACCGGGCTGCTTTCCACTGCTTGTGCCTCCAGACACGGTCTATGTCCAGGGTGAAGCGAGCTTGATGTTCTGCTTGGTCGCGGGCCGACCGCACAACCAGAGAGAAACCGACGCCTGCGGCAGAGCGTTCGGGAAGCATGACACCGTCCTTCATGCCTTTCGCTAAGCAGTGTCCTTTCCAGCTGAACTTACGCTTCCATGCAAGGGCAAGCAGATCTGATTGTGAAACCATGTCCTTGTCTGATAAGGCAGTCATTAGAACCCCAATGATAGCTGAACTCTCCTTATACACGCACCTTGCGCACGGCCCCCGGAGCTTGGAATCGAGCTAGATCCCCAGACCTTTGCCGTCTCCACAGCTCTGCAAGAACGTGTGCACTTTTCACCAATCCCATCGCCAGCAATGCAATTCCAAATGCGGCCAGAGGCTGCGACGAACAGGCTTTGGCTTTGCGCAGTCAACACGAGGAAGCACAAAGCCTTGGACCGCATGTCATTTGCGGAACATTCAATCCTGCGCAGATGCGATTTGCAAACCATCCAGAACTTATGAATGAACAACTGACCCATATTCACAGCAATTCACTTCACGAAAGACTGCTTCAATACGACTCAGCACTGGACACCTGCTGTCGCCCAGCGCAGGAATGGGGTTGTCCTCGGCCAATCGCCACGGATTCAGGGTTGGCAGGATCCATCCTTAAACGTCGTCTCCCCTCTACGACAGAAACAAGGACTTTCTCTTCCGCAGTGACATGGCTCCGCAGGCGAAAGAGGCTATGCGAGGCTGCCGGATGTTGTTCGTGACCTCGCCCCCCGAAGGGAGTGCAAACTCCATTCGGCGAACTCACAAAAGCATCCTAGGATGCCCATCAGTCCTCACTGGCATAGAAACATGGAGACACACCGCCGCTGACACGTTCTTCACGCTTTTAAGGCTTTGCTTGAAACGCATGTCGTGGTTACAGCACACACACTTTGCTGGGACAGTTGTGTTGCTTTGCTTGCTGATAAAGTGAATCACCCGCCAGTATTTCCGCGCACGCAGATCATCACAGTTTTGTGTCGACTGTTGGAAATGAATGCTTCCATGCAGTCAGATACCATGCGACTGCTCCTTGCGATGCTAACCGGTCGACGTCTCATCCACATAGGACGAGCCATGAGCAACTCACATATCATCCCCTTCACAACATGACTTGGAGCTTCTGTGCCGTTGAACGGTGCATCGATCTCTAACAGTGCGGTTGCCCTCGGATTCCTGTCCACTTCCTGCCCGTTGCTGCCAGGTTTCTTAGCATCTCTGCAGCTCCAGGCTGCAAGCGAAGAAGAATTTCTTCCTCGCCTCTGGACCAGGCTTCACAGGGGCCGTATGCATCTGTCGCTCGGTTTGGTGACTTCTGGGACTGCTTCGAGCACAACTTCTTTGCTTCTCGAGACATGCAATAAATCTGCACCTGCTCCCGCCGTCCCTCGGTCCTCCATGCTGGACACGACGGACACCCCATCACAGGCACACGGGGTGACGGAGATGGCCAGCTACACCGACGCAGCAAAACCAAGTAGTGAGTGCTGATCTGCTTGAGTTGAGCGCGTTCTTGCTTAGCACTTGGCGGAAGCTCTCACAATTCCTGTAGCTTTTGGAAGAACTGGACGCATGTGGATTCTATGCGACAGCTGCAAACAGGACAACAAAACAACACTGCATGCATTCAACGTCCGTACGGATAGGCTGATGCTACAAGCTATCAAAGCAGGAAACCAGCGCGAAGCTCCTGCGCCCGAGCAAATTGTTGGCGGCTGCGCTCCTGACCGTGCAATGACGGCATCACGACAGTCACGACAGTGGATGAGAGTCGTCGTGAAAGTCACAGCCCGCCTCCTCCTCGTCTTTCTTTTCTGCACGGCGCTTGTCCGCCAGGGTCTTCATGAACTCCTTTTCAGATACACTTGCCTTCTGCATAATTCTGACCGGTTCAGCGTCAATCAAGCTTTGTTGGGAAACCTCATAACGCTCAGGACCTCTTTTCCACAAATTGCAATGCGAGATGACACTCTCACCGTTCTCGCAGAAAGACGCGAAGACGCGGCCTCAAAAAACGACACACAAGGGCAGCTGGCTGCAAGCGAACCACCTCGGATGACTAGGCACCGGTCGTCTTTCTGTAGTCCTTTATGATTGCCCGCTTCTTCGTCTGCCGTCCAAGAGGGCCTGCAGGAAATATCATCAATGTCACAGATCCTGTTTCAACTGGCTCTAGCGGCTAGCTGCGGCCTGTGTATTGCGGGATGGCAGAGATATACCGAACTTTTTTGACCTCGACTCCACGAAGCATAGGGCACTGCCCGCGGACAACTTTTGTCGAAGTGTAGGCTGAGATTCCCGCATTCTTCAGATACCTCGAGTTCGCATTCTGGCGCGGCTGCACCACCGCAAACGATCGAAGCATAAGCGAAAGCAAATTTGCCAACAAACCAAGGCGCCGATGCTTGGCCATCTTGAAACGTCCCCGGATCTTCGTCGTCACTTCCCGGCGCTGGATGCCCAGCACGCCGAGGCCGATGCCGAGGCTGCGAAGTGGCGGTGGTCTCACGAATGGCGAGGAGAGGATACGCTCCTGGCATGCGACTCCGGAAAGACTGCACGGGGGCCCTTTCGTACCCTTGAGGAATCCGTTCTTCAGGCCGCACCTCCTTCGGCGCCAGCAGGGCGGGCACCCCCTGTGTCGCGAGCTGCGTCGCAAGCTACGAGCTTTGCATACCGAGTTTCACACGTGCGCCTTCGTCCGTTGGGGTCCAGGCAAGGCCGGCGTGGAGAAGCGGCCGAATGAGGCCGCCTGAGTCCGTGTGGCGGTCCCCTCCATGGATCTCTGATCATATCTGATGTGTCTGCCTGTGTCCGCACCGGCGGGACAGCAGCACGAAGAGTCCGAAGAGTTGCCCAGCATCGTCCGAACATGGCTGGGACGCTTGGACAAGGCAACTCTTCGACAGAATCGCGGCCGTAATCATTCTGACATGTACAGCATCTGAAGTCTGCTGGTTGGGACACTGATATAGTATAGCTTGATGCCCAGGGCTAACCGCATCTGAGCGTTCATGCGATGTGACCTCAACATCTTCAATAGATCTATGAGTCACTGAGCGTCACGTCTGGCTGTACAACTTGGCCAGTCTCACAGTCACACACCTGCTTACTTACATGAAATTCCCTCTGGCCAAAACTTACGACCTTTAGCTCTGCACCGTCCTTGTCGCTGTCTTCGCTAGTAGTGCGTGGGCGCTCGGCCTGTTTTCAGAGCGCGAAAACACATGAGGTAGGATCATCATGGTCCCCACCGTCAGGACACCAAACATACGCTCGACCCTGACGCTCTTAAGATCTTTGCCTCTCAAGCTTGATACATTGCGACATCAAAGGAACGACTCACTCGATCCCATTTCCGACGAGGCGCCGTAGCCTTTGCAGGTGCAGGTTGCGGAGCGAGTGCAGGCGAGCGCTTTTCCACGGCCTGTGAGGTAATGCGCAAAATTTAGCACAACTCAAGAGGCTCGTGCATCCAAGGTGGATCTCTCCTTATCACTGTCCTCATCCTTTGCACGTCGTTCAGCCTTTCATAGAAGCAGACTGGCAAGCATGTAAGGATTCAGCACACTTGGACGCGGACAGGCGGGGGCGAAGGTGCTGGTGGAGGAGGCAGAACAGGACGCCTCTCTGGGGCCTCGTCTAGAGTCTATATCCCAAGAAGTACAAGCGGCACTCTGGGGGCGTGGCTGGCACTGGAGCTCCGATCGGCCGAGCCATGTTGGAAGATGAAGATGACGCTCCCTCGGAACAAAAGCGACATGAACATGAATTGACAGAAGCGTACGGGCTTGAATGCTTGCACAGGACAGAACTTTCATGCCCGCAGCAGCTTCCCTTTTTCCATGAGCATTAACTGGGGTCTGCCTGCTGGTCTCACGACCTCGGCGCCTGTGAGGAGAAGCGAAGAAGCTGAGCCAAAAAGAGGCCGAGGCCAGTGCCGCCTAGGCCGCCTTGGCAGCTGGCAGTCCCTGACTTGTCTATGCCTAGCGTTTAAGAGCACCAGTGCCGAAGGCAAGAGACCTCCTGCGACATCATCTGCAATTGTGCAAGAGCTGCCACGGGAAGGAAACTACATCCGCAAGCTTCCTATGTTGCAGAAGAAGAAGCCATGCGAGTCTGAAACTGGGGAGCAAGCAAGTGCTCCAAGTAAACAAGAGAAATAAACTAAAACAGGCACAAGATTGGGCGTCATGGCCATTTACACCCTGGCCTCCCGCAGAGGACCAGCACCCGAGCTTCAGCGACGCCCAAAGGCTTAGAAAGCATCCACTCCGACCCTGCGCTTGGGGTCGCATCTCTGCAGGAACTGCGCCAGCTCCCTGTTCTTCGGCTCCCGAGGCAACTTCGGCTCCCAGCGGACAGCGACGGGAGCCTCCGAGCTGGCGTCCTCCGCTTCGCCCTCGGCGGGCCCGCCGCTGTCCTCCTCGGCTTCGGGCCTCGACACAAAGAACCAAAACCGCCGAGGCCCGCTTCCCCCGGCCCCCTGGTGGCCCCCTATTGGGCCCCCCTGGCCTCTCTGGATCATCCTCCTCCTCCTGAGTCCAGGCATGCCGTGTAGGGTCGCATCATGCCAGCCGTGTATACAGCCGGGGTGCCCATGTGTCATCTTGCGTGTCTGCAGGAAGAAGCGGTGAGGAAGGCATTCGCAGCACCAGGTTGGCAATCTCTGCTTTCTGGACCCATCTCTCCGCCCATTTGACCCACTCAGCCTGCGACTCAAAGGCCAGAGAAGAAGGACTTTGACTGTGCACATTCTGAAGTTCGTCCTTGGGGCAAGTGATAGGCTTCGTCTTCGGATTGCAGGGTCGTCTATCATTAAGATTCCGGCTTCCCACCTATATGCGACCCATCTAGGGCTGCAAACTAGCTTAGTCGGTGTCCGTGTGCAGGACCTGCGTGAGAAGTCCATCGTGGTCGACGTCGGCTTCTTCGAAGATGGCCTCTATGCCTGGGTCGCATCGAGCTCTACACCTTGAAGGCCACGAGCAGAGTCTAAGGCCTGTCCAGACCAAGCCGGGGAGCTTTCAACGTCGATCTCCATGTCGGGTGCCGTGTCCGAGAGCACCTGGCTGTACTTTTTGAGAAGTCTTGCAAGATACTCGCTCGGACGCCGCCGCTTACAGGCCAAGAAAACCTCAAAAAAAAAGAACACAGTTCACAGTTTGGCATTAGACACCACCGAAAATGCACCAAGGTGGCACCCTCTCCATCTCCGTCTTGTCAATGGCCTACGTGCTTGGAATCGAAGCACTGTGCTGTAGGCCCGACTGACCGCGAGTTCTTGCAGTACAAGTACGGCCGTACACCTTCCCGTCTGCTTTGCAACTCGCCTGGTCACCATTTACGTCGTAGGACTGAAAGATCTGCAAAAGGACCTGCTCCTTTACTCCTTGGTGGAGCTGCAGGCTTTTGCTCGTTCGCGATGGAATCCGTCTCGCAAACATAAACGGTCGAGACGCGGATGTCTTCGGATGGTTTTAGGATCTTGTGCCGGGTTGCTGGCCCAAGGCAGCACGGGTTCGTCTCTGCTTCTCAGATCGCCCGCACTTTCCTTGCAGCTTAGAGTCCCATCGACAGCTCAAAGAAGAAAGGCTCGCTTTCTGATTTTCGCCGAAGTCGCCCTGCCCTCTTCGGACTCGGCTTGTGCGGCAGCACGTGCCACCTGAACTTTTCGACAGGAGCCCGAGTACGCACAGGAGAACCAAGCCCGGCAGCCCGCCTCTCCTATCAATACTCAGATTTTTCTCTACACCCTCGGTTTGCAGAGATCGCAGCACGTTCTGCGATCAAGAGCGGCAGCGCCCTAACGGGAATCGATTGAAGCCAGTTCAGCTATAGATAGCGACAGGTCCGAATCAATTCCCAGCTCAAGCTGCTGAGATTTCTTCTCCGGTGGATGGCAAAGCCCGTGAAGATTCGTAGCCTGAGTGTGCGAATGCTGCCGCATCGAAATAACCGAGCGCCTCATGAACTGCACTTTGAAGAAGCGGTATCTAGCTTCAACGCTGACCAACTTTGCTTCCTCGGGGCTGCTGGCGTCGCTGCGCGACTTCTTTGGGGCCTCGACGAGGCCCAGCGCGCCTGCTTCCAGAAGGTCCTCCGCCGCTAATGATTTCGTTCTCTGGCTGTGGCGATGATGCTGATCCCTGCTCGCCTTTCGGAAGCCGAAGGAAACCGTGAAGGCTTTCAATGCAAGAAAAAAGGCGGCTCCTGTGCCCCCAAACTTCGAATAGACTCCTCAATGTCCACCTCAGCAGGTCCAGTCTATCAAATCGTTTCCTTCCGCTAAGGCATTTGTCTGGCTTAAAGGCTGCTTGATGTGTTCAGAAGTGGAACCTGCAGCGTGTCTGCGATAACCTCCACCTTCAAAACACCCTGGAAGGGGTCCTCCGCAGGGCGACTGGTGTAGACAGAGTTTTGCTGCGCTTCCGCAAATGCGCCTCGATGACAAGACCAATCTCGAAGATTCCAAACAGCGCCCAGCTTGCAAAGCCTGCAGCACATTCTTGGCACAAGCCTTTGTTGCTTCAGCTTCAGCCGAACAGCTGCTTGGATCGCCAAGCCACAGGTTACCGGGACAGTGTACGGGCCAAGCACATCCACCAAAGCGAAGGGAAGCCTGCTCAACCCGTGCCGCCGTGCGGTATGGGAGCATGTTGGATCACGACATGATCTCAAAACCCATGAGACAAGAAGTTTTGGAGCCACGGCACGTGAGCATGAACAAGGACAAAAAGCGCGATGTGTGTCGCACATAGCCTCTGAGGCACTCACCAATGCGTGGAACACATTGACTACAAACCTCTACTGTTCTCCACAAACCAATGTCGCGGAAGGGCAGGGTCAACAGAGGTTTAGCACTCGAAAATAACAACAAAAGCACAACTGCTTAGCGACCTGGAGCAAAACGCTACCCAATGCTGTGGAGTCACTGAGAGGGACTGGTGTTTGAACTAATCGTTCGCACGCTCCGATGGTGGAACCTCAACAAGCCATGGGCGGTACATCTTCGTGTCACAAACTTTGATCAACCGAAGTCTCCGGCTCAGCTTTTCCAGGTTTTGCATGAGCTGAGACCGCTCACGGTTGGTGTACATCGCCTGTCAATGCGACGAACGCATATCTGATGCATCACTTGGTACGTCTTCATTTCATTGAGCTGCCTGTGGCCCTTCTCCGTTCGGAACTGAGCGGACAGCATGAGCCAACCTTGGACAAGTTGCACAGGTGACTCACGTAAGCACCAAACGCCAAAACCACATGCCGGCAGATAAGATTGATGGAGTTTCATAAGCAAACACCAGCTGGTTGAATCCAACCAAGGAAGCTGGTTCACAATGAAGAGAGGTCTATTGGACGACATCGGCAGGGTATAGTCATGCTGGACGTTACCTAAGATGCACTCGCCTCCGGGCACTCGCACTGCTAGCCAAACCTCTGCTGTCCAGCCAAAGGGCTGGCAAGCTCCCCCTTTGCACCGATGAGCCTCTCCAGCTTAGAGCGCATGGCTCGGTCCTTGAAACACCCCGCTCGCCGAGGCATGACACATGTGGGCGTGTTCTCTGCCTGCCTTCTTGCCACGCAAATGCTCGATCATGCAATACGGGAACGCTTGCACCAATCGACCTCGGAAGATTCAGGAGGCAAAGAGGAAGCAGCTGTCAAAGCCGCTCTCCCACTGCCTTACACTGTGTGCGGATCAGCCGCAGACGTGCGCTGATGTGTTGGGCCCCATCTCTGTGCGAAACAGGATGGCGTATCGAGAAACGTCCCTAACAGGCCAGCGACACACTGTGCGTCGGTGCAAAGTGCACATGCAACGGGAAGATGCGCCTTCCCAAGTCCAAAATCCGTTGCCAAATTTGACGGCCCTCCCAAAAGCGTGAGTAGGCCTTGACGTGTCAGCGAACAGAACCGCAGAGCACCCTGACACTCTCACATCTAGCTCTATTTTTAACTCTGTGACTCTGTGGACTGCAAGGGCCCCCGCCGTGTTCGTTCGGAAGACGAGCAGAAGCCCCAGAGCAGAGACCAGCAGCGCGTGGCCCGTGGTGCTGGCGTGCCAGAACTTTCCCTGCGAGCGCGACATGGCGCGAAGAGCGCCCCGATGCCCGGGCCCGCGGCCCTTTGCCCCCGGCCTTCGGGATCAAGTAGGCGTGGGCGAGACAGACCCAGACCGCCACGCCGGTCGTGCAGAGAACTGGGCTCAGAATTCGACGGAGAAGGTTCGAGGACCAAAGGCCACGCAGGTTGGCCACCCAGTCCTCAAGTCACACGTTCTCTACGAAATACAGACGCCCCATCGCGCACCTATGGCAATCGGTCAGCGGGATCATCGTCGGGATATTACTACGGGAGACGACCGGGGCTACCGGAACGATGACGTGAGGGTTGCCATACTAGTAGAGGGGCTCATCTTGTCCGAGCCGCCACCGAAGTGTAACGCCTGGCCCGGGATGCACCTCTTGTCTTAGTCTGCGAACTGCGCCGCTCAGCGCGGAGTGCCCCAGGGCCTGGACAGTTCGAGCTTGGACAGGAAAGGTTCCTGAAAGCAACATGCCACGTGAAGAATGCAGGGATTGATAGAAGCTATATATACTATAACTCTAGAGTCTAGAGTATAAACCCAACGCCTTGTGATTGGGCGGGCTTGCGACGGACGGGTGACCGACAGCGCTCAACAGCCACGGCAGTGGCAGTGGCGGCTGCGACGAAATGGCCGTCAGGCCCTGCCCCTGCAGAACTTCGAGAGAATCTTGTCTCTACGGCTCTCTCGATCGTCTGGCCTGACCATACTCGATGAACCACGCAACGTCCGCAGCTTGCCCGGGGTGGCAACGGCAAAGCTCGGGAAGGTGAGCTCAGCAGCTTCTGGCAACTCATGGCCGTTTGTCTGGGCCATTCGCTACGAGCAGGTGGAACTGGATTTGTTTTCTGCATGTTGGCTGAGATGTGCAAATGCGAAACATCCATGGTGCCTATAGTGGATCAGTAAAGCATATTACTCACCGTGTGTCACTGTTGTACATGATTCATCTCCATACACAGCCAGCTTGCAAAATAATGTTGTTCTGCCGCAATGCTGCAATCCAGCATGCATCGTTTAAAATGAGCTTTGGTAGTTACCGGTGCAGAGAACATGTGTCACTGTCAGTATGCCGTCACATGATCGTGAGGGTCGGATGCAGCCAGGAACAGGTCAGTCCGAGACAGCCGCCAATCCCATTGACAGTGACCCAGATCCGGAGTTCCTGCGCCCCTGGTGCAACAGGCATTTTCGTGTGGAGGAGCCATGCATCTACCGTGAGGGAGCACGACTTACCCGCGGCGGCCTTCGGCTCGGATCCCAAGGTCGGAAACTCTTCCTGTGGGTGCATCAAACACATTAACATGCATTGTGTACTCCTGTCTTTGTGTTCAGAAAGCTGCAATGTTCCTGCTTCTTCTCCACCGGCTCTTGCCAAGCTGTGCCAGGTGCTGGCTGCGCCCATGGTGCCGGCCTTCTCAGAGACGAAGGACAAAAGCCTAACATGCTTCATGTCTCCATTGCCTTGGCCCAGCTTGTGCAGAAATCGATGTCCTGGAGGCAGTAGGCTTAGCCCGTTGGATGGCCACGTGTTTTCTCCGAACACCTTCCCCAGGCGGTGGGCCGCAACTGTGCAGGCTGGGAAGTCAGCCCAACACGGGGATTCCTGCTATGTTTGAAGGAACTCAACACATGCCACGATGTCATGCTGGGGACAATCGCCAGGGTTGCGTCGGCTGAGCCTCCTCTTCCACATCCTGTCAACGCTCACACTTCAAAGAAGAGTCATTAAACTGGAGCAAGAAGTGGCGGCTCCTCCTTTGGCCGTCCCCAGCCCCCTCCCCCGGCAGGCACCAGGCGAATGCCAGGATCCTGGCAAACCACTTGCACAGACAAAACAAGTCACTCTCACAATCCCCTCACCAGGTTACCAGGTTACCAGCCTGTCCCTCGTTCTCCGACTTCAGAGACCCCAGCTGCACTGGGCGGGGAACTTCCACCCTGGCTCGACACTCTGGCGTGTGTGAAACCATCACCACACAGTCACGGCAACCCTCACATGAAAACAACAGGCCAGACTTTCCGAGGTGCGGCGTTTCGCGATTGCCTCTTTGCAACTGCATGAAGCATGGCATGTCAGAAAATCCCATGCAAAGCTGAGGAAAGCACCACATCAAGTGCGAGGGATGGAGTTACAGCGTGTCACACGAAGTGCCCAGGAAGCTGCAAGCGGCTGCCAATGATTCACTTGAGGCAGGCCACTGGCCGAAACGTTCGATCCTACACACACTGTTCATCCAAAGCACACAAAAAGTTTCGAGATCGAGGATGCGCAGCTCCTCGAACATGAACTACTCAGCGATGGAAAAACATGCAGCTAATTACATTCTATCCGAAACTTACAGTCACATGCATTGGAGCTTACACATCTGACATGTCACTCACCAGCGGTGCATCCGTGGTAAAACATACTTCAATGTCGCAAAGCGCAACTGAAGAGTCTTGATTTTGGTGTTGCTTTTGACATTCAATGTTTATTTAAACACATTGTCCAGCTCCTGGGCTCATGCATCGAGACCACGGTGAGCAAACAACGCTGTCTTTGACTGTAAATTCAGAAAGAACACTGGAACACGCAGCAGCACATTTTGATCGCCAGGGAAACAGAGGGCTTGTCGTTCAAGCATTGAACCAACCAGAACTGGACATGTTGCACGCTGCGTATGTCGATGAAGGAAAATTTTGCTTGTATATTTACATTGCTGACAAGTCTCAATCCTAATGGACGGCTACATACTTAAGCAGTGCAATGAAGCTCGGTCATGGTCCTTTCTCCTTTTGTTTTTTCTTGCAAAGTATTTTACGGTGGATTTCACTACTTGAAAATTACGGGGTTTCAAACGACGTGGCTAGCAAGTTGTTGTCCTTGCCGTCGTTGTCGCTTTTTGTTCAGGTTTTTGTTTTCAAAACGCAAGTGTATTGGTGGGAGCTCAGCTGTTCCTGCAATCAAATGAGATTTCAATGGGAGCTTGTGTGATGTTCTCACGTGGGAAACATATTGAACAGATAGGAGTTGCTCTTTTCCAGACCGCGGGCCGCAAGCCCGCGTGGGCAGACGACCAGGACTACACGTGGCCGCAGCCAAAAAGGAGATGTTGTTTGCCAAACCCCAAACTCTGAAAGGAGATGTTGGTTGAGAAACCGGAACAAAAATAGTTGAGGTTCGGGTCTGGCTTCCGTTTCCTACCGAGTTTAGGTAGAAGGAAGGGTGGGACCTAAAGCAGTAAGCAGCACGGTCAAAGACCCGCTTTTTATCCGTTGGCGAAAAACCTGTCCAATGTCCAGGAGTAGCCGGTTCAAGTGGGTATCACACCGTG